AGAAGATATGTACATGGATCAATCTCAAGGATTTGTTGAAGAAGACAAGTAACACCTTGTTTGTAAGTTGAAGAAATTCTTATATGGGCTCAAGCAATCACCAAAGATATGGTACCAATGCATCGACACATTCTTTGTAAATGAGGGATTTGTGAGAAGTGATGTTGATCATTTCATATATGTGATGCAATCAAAAGTCTTCTTGTTGATTGTTATTCTCTACATTGATGATTTAATCATCTTGACCAAAACCTTGAAAAATATGGATAAGTTGAAGGCAAAACTAACGAAAGAATTTGAGATGAGTGATTTGGGAGAGCTTCACTATTGCTTAGAAGTGGAGTTTGTGAGAGTTCGAGCTAAGAAGATCATTACATTGAGCCAAAAGAAGTATATTGAAGAAGTGTTGAAACGATTCAACATGGTAGAGTGCAAGCCTATTGAAACACCATTGGAGGCTAATATGAAAATGATGAAGCTCACGGATGAGGAGTTTGTTGAAGTTGAAGATGAAATGAAAGATGTTCCATACAAGGTAGCAGTAGGCAATGGTTGGCACAATGATGGATCTTGCATATGTGGCGAGTGTTGTGAGTCAATACATATCAAAGGTTGGACCAATCCATTAGATAACCATTAAAAGCATCATGAGGTACTTAAAAAGTACTTTGAACTTTGAATAGTACGTTGGAGGTGATAATATTACATTGCATGGTTATTGTGATGTGGATTGGGCTGGAAATGCAAATGATAGAAGGTCAACAATAAAATATGTGTTCTTTGTTGGAGTGAAAGTAATTTCATGGAATTGCAAGAGACAACCAATAATTGCAAGGTCAATAATGGAGGCAGAGTACATGGCAACAAGTCATGGTGTAATAGAGGCAATATGGCTAAGACAAGTTTTAGAAGTCATTGAACTTGTACAACTAGAAGAAATTCCAATGAAGTGTGACAATGAAAGATGTCTTACCTTTGCAAAGAACCCAAAGCATCATTCAAGAACAAAGTACATTGACATTCAATACCACTTCATATGAGAAAAAATTGAAATGGGAGTGATTGATATGAAGTGTTGTGCAACAAAAGACATGCTTGTTAATTTGCTTATAAAAGCATTGGTGAAGGATAGACATTACAAATTGATAAAGGCATTAGGATTAGAAATATTTAACCAATAGCAAAGTGGGAGTAATAAAGTAAATATTGGACAAATAAAAGATATTACCTAACATAAGTTGTTAATGGTTAAAAGGCAGCAAAAGGTAATAGGAAAGTTACCAAGATAGTGGCTAGGATTTATAGTGGTGGCTAGATTAAGTGGAATCTAAATTTACTTGAATGAAGTAAGAATGAACGAAAATGAAGTTGAGCCACAATAGATGTAAACTCTATCCATAAGTAAAGGATATTGGAAGTGAGAGGCATCTCATTCCACACTTCTCTTGTGTTTAACCTTGTTGATTTCTACTTACTTGTGTTTTGCTTATTGTGTTTCTTCAATATAGTTATCTTTATATAAAATCCAATATCAAAATATATATATATATATTAGATATTATCTTTTGATAATTAAATTATATTTACATATTATAAATTATTTCTATTTTTTTTTATGCTTTGAATATATAAAGCTCAAAATAAAGTAATTTTTTAAAAAATCATAATTTTTTAAATTTAGTGTGATATATATATATATAGGCTACAAGCATACTCTAAATTACTATATGCGCATCCATTATGTTTATACACACATTCAAAGCTTTTAGTTGATTGATCCAATTCATTTTTTCTTTATCCCTCTTTCTTCTCTTGATTGTCCCAGTGCATGTTCTAATTCTCTCCTTTTCTTCTTTCTTATCTTAATATGGGTTTCAAATCTCCTCTATCTTTATTTTGCTCTAGTATGGATCTCACTGCCAAGATAAAGAAAAATGAAAGAAAGAACCAAAATCTGTGTCGAAACAAAGAAAAAAAGTTTTAGATTAGCTAATCAAAGGTTCTAGGTATGTGTATAGATATAATGGATATGTGTATAGTAATTTGGAATGTACTTGTAGCTTGAGCCATATGTGTATATATATATATATATATATATGTAAGGATCAAATCAATTAAATGATTATACTTATAAAATAAGTTTTAAACTTATGTTCATATTCAAAAATAAAAACTAAAAATCATTCAAAAAACATAATAAAGTTAACCAACAATAAGAAAATAGAAATATCTTAGAAATAATTTAGTTAAAATTTTAAATTAAAAATCTCTTATTTTATTTATTTTATTAATTATATATTATCAATTAAATTTAAAACTATTTCAAATTATTAAAATAGATATAAATAACTATAAAATAGAGCATATTCTTTGCTAAAAGATTAAAATATTTTAAAAGAGATAATTTTTACAAATAAGTTTCTATTTTATATTAAAAAAATTAAAAATAAATAAATAAAAATCATAAATTTATGTATCAAATTTATAAATTTTGATAAATTTATTTTGCTATAAAGAATTTAATAGAAATTTGTTATTAGAGCATACATTTGATATCAAAAGTTGAAAATTTAGATATATAAAATTACTTTAAATTTAATTTTTTATTTTATTAAAAAAATGATATTAATATATATATATATATATATATATATATATATAATCTCATTATTAATTTTTACATCATGTTAATTTTTAAACTTGAAATCTATATATATATATATATATATATATATATATATACATATATACAAATATATTTTATTTTTTTAAAGCATGAAATTATAGTCTATATCTCATGTATTAAAGTAGGAAGAGTTTATTTGTACAAAAATTATTCATTTCAAAAAAAAACTTCTATTTTAAACATATACATGTGGAGTTGCTTGCTACTTCTACAAATTTTGTTGGTTGCAATTACATGTAAATATTACTAATTTAAATAAAAAATTTATTGACTACTTCTTATTATTATAATGAATTGCAATATGAACAACATATCAAAAAATATCACATACATATTCTATTATTCTTACATAATAAGAATAATAAAATTAATAATAATAAAAATATATATTTATATATATATATTATTTATAATAGAAATATTAGAATGTATATTTTTAAAATAATTAAAATAAATTATTATACAAAAATATCAATAACATGTTTTGATACAAAAAAAATATATTTTCACTTTAATTTAATGTAATATAAAAAAACCATTATTATACATTAATAATCTATTTTAACACATTAATTCTAAAATAAAGTAAAGAGATTCAATGGTAATATTTATGTAGGTATATGTCAAAGATATATATCACAAAAGAATTCAATATATATATATATATATATATATATATATAGATTCGTATATCATTGAAGAAGAAAGAAAATAAAGAAAGAAGAGATAGTCATAAAATAGAAATAAACCAATAGTGTTATTACCAACTATAGCGAGCATAGAAGTCTTGAATCAAGATTGGAATATAAAAGAAGTATTGACAATAATAAAAATGACTTCAAACTTATATATATATATATATATATATATATAAAGAAGGTCTTATGGAAGCTTTTTAAAGACCACAAGGTATGTAATTCAAGCTTGTCATATGCATATATATATATTTACTTAGCTTAAAGAAATTAGATAGAAGTAAGTTTGATAATCTGGTGTGGAATAACTTCTTAGAAGCTTCATAGATATGGATTTGACTTTACACATGTTTGTAGGTGATTGATAGGTTAAAAATTTAGCAGCATGTTAGTGACTTGTGGTACAAGTTGGACATATGATACATATGTAGGAAACTTATCTTATAAGTTAGACATGTGTCTAAGGTTGTATCAAACATCTCAACATAGCTCTAACTTAGATAGTATGTATGGAAGCAAGAATAAGGCCTACTTTACTCTTGTTATTATTTTTTTATTTTTTATTTTTTTAATCTTATTTTAAGAGTCTCTAGTCTTCTTGTCTTTGGCAATAGTCATTCTAGTTCTAATATAATACTATTTTAATGTGAATACCTACTCTTTTTTAGCGATGCAAGAGTGTATTGAGGTTTTTATTGTTTATAATTCATGTTGTTGGCAAAGCTTCAAATTATGAGTTGCTTCCACCATGACTTCCTAAAAAAAATTAATTATAGAAGAAGTTTTAGTAGCTAGGTGGCATATTTGTAGAAGTCTAAATATTTAATTTGTGACTAGAAAAATTCCTCAAAACTTTTTAAAGAAGATGACATCTTCTTAACATTTTTATATCTACTTCTACTTACTTCTATTAATTTATATTTAATTAAATAATATATGTATTTATTATATATAAAAAATAAAATGAAGTGAAAATATATAGATGGTTATTTTTTATTTTTAAAAATTTATATAAAATTTAATTTACCAGAGATGTATAAATTTATTTTATATATCAAAAAATACAGCAATACTTATAAGTATATATATATATATATATATATATATACATACACACACAATAAATTTATAATATTTAATTTCATATAAAAATATAAAATAGGCATAGTACTGATGTGATTTTAATAGTTTAAGATGAAAAATTGAAAAGTATAATATATATACTTATAATTATATAAATATATATATATATATATATATATATAAGTATATAATTTAAATCTATATCATCTCCTTCAAATTGTTGATAAGTATGTAATTCTAAAAGCTAAAGAACTTGACATGGTTTATGCAAGTATTGTGAAGTTGTTATAAACTTTGTGGTAGTATCCTGTATTTACTAATCCTCTTGCACATTTTATTTCGATCTATATGTATATATATGTAAGTTTTATTTTGAAAGTAGACTTTCCATTCGGGCAGACGAAGATTGTCCATCAAAAGGCGAGCTGTTCCTTTAACTTCAAACCCGTCCTTGCAATTTAGGAACTTGCTGCTAACTGGGTACGACCGTGTATAATGGACGGCGGTGTACAAAGACGAGGCATGCGGCGGATATGTGGTGGACATCAGGAGTTGGCTTCGGCACGAAACTTGAACTTGCACAAAGTTTCCTTGCCCAAACTGTCTTAGGTCCCTTGCTGAGTTGCAATTCGTTTTGATCTCGCACCGTTTGACTCGCAGCAGTTGCCAATAATCTGACGTTTTTTTTTGTATCATGGAGCCCATGGCGTGCCAGTGGACTGATGCTCCTCACAGCATGGGGGTTCGTATGAGTGATTTTGCCGTTTTTTGTGCTATGAAACCGATACGTTTGGTCGCTAGGGTTGCGCATCGGTCTTTTCGATAGTTCTGTTGATCGCTGTCATTACTGTAGTATTTTTTTTCTTTCGTATTATTGAGCCACTTTTGGTGCCATATTTTTTAGGGTTTCCTGACCGACTACTAACGCACTCTGGTGGTGCACTTCGCAGACTACTATCATGGCTGTGGAGTACAACGGAGGTGTAATTCTTGGAGCTGATTCTCGTACTACTACTGGTGAGTTGATGGAGCTTGCGATTGTTTTTTCTGAAATCCATGTGAGCAAGGCTCTCACGATGACAGTAGAGCTTGTATTTTAATTGATTTGATGGTGTTGTGGAGATGGTTTTATTTATGGTTCTGAAATTGTGTAGAGTGATTTTTTTTTTTTGTCCTGCCTTCACAGGTGTATATGTTGCCAATCGTGCATCCGATAAAATCACTGAACTTACTGACAATGTTTACCTCTGTCGCTCCGGCTCGGTAATGCGTCTTCACTTTCAGTAACTCCTCTTTCTAGTATCTGGACGTTGATGATTTGTATTTAGTATTTTTCCGAAGTTGCCACCCTATACATGCATTTTGAGGCCAAGTTTATCATCGGAAATATCGTTGTGTAGCCAGATTATCGCTGGATTATTCCGATGCAATTGATCGAAAGGAACGAGTAGGAAGTTCCACTGCATGTGGCGTTTTTGAATCATTGTAGCATTTACATGTATTGTGTAAATTTCATGTTTATTGATGGAAATAACACGAATAACTGAATTAAAGCTTTTCTCTGACCGGTCTTAGTTTCCTTTGTTTCTACAAATCTGCTCAACTCTAGTCATAGCCTGTCTTGGGTATTGCTTGAAAATTATCTTATGATACGTATGTGCGAATTTCAGGCAGCAGATTCACAGGTGGTATCTGATTACGTGCGCTACTTCCTCAACCAGCATACGTAAGTTGTATTCTGCTTTACTTTTCGTATCTGAGTGAGAGGAGAACAAAGTGAAGATTTGGTTCTGTTATTTTACCTGCAGTGAGAATACACATGTAAAAATATGAGACGTTCAGGTATCCAAAATTGCTTGAGGCACCGTGTTGGAACCAATCAGTCTTGTAAACTGTTGATGTGAAAGCGCTCCTCATACAACCTCAACATTAAACAGTCGTAAATAACATAGTTTCATCAAATACTACACTTTTGGGAGGGCAATTAGGGGTCCAGCAGCTGAAACGATGCAACAGTCCTGCTGCAGCATACCACGCCCTGACCTCACTTCTGCTGAATGTGAAATGTTAGCATTGATTGCGGCACTTTTGGTACACAGTTTCTTTGTAGATCTAATCCTTATTGTTTCCATTCTCTCTCACCCTGTGAGTCTCTATCTTTCGCAGGATTCTGCTCGGGCGGTTGGCCACTGTGAAAACTGCTTCAACACTTGTCAAGGAACTCTCATACCAGAATAAGGTAAATTTCTATATGCTTCTCTACGTAGCTGTAGACGGTTATTTGATGCAACCTCAGGACTTCATTTGTATGTTATTTCAGATCATCAATTACATTGGTATTCTTATCCAGCCGCTTTTCATGTAGTACGGGTTGTCTTACTTTTGTAACTGGCAAAAATGCTCTTTGGTTGCAGTCGTTTTTGGAGACTGGTTTAATAGTTGCAGGCTGGGACAAATATGAAGGAGGCAGTGTGTACGGCATCCCTCTGGGAGGCACTCTGTTGCGGTTACCTTTTGCCACAGGAGGTCTGTACTTTCACCGTACCATTTCTGTTTGGATACCGCCTGGTGTCGAGTTCTGGTATTTGATGATTGTGGATGATGTTCTTCGTGCTCAATCAAAACCGCCAAATAGATGAATACAGTTCAAATTGTCTTAAGGTTAGGTTTTTAATTCCTAACTTAGAAAACGAGGGAGTAGCAGACTTTTCTTTCTAGAATTAATTCTATCTTCCGTCTATTTGAATGCGAATTTCAGGTTCGGGTTCTAGCTATCTTTACGGATTCTTGGATCAGGCTTGGAAATCTAACATGACTCAAGAAGAAGCTGAGGTACAGTCGACTGTCACCCCATCCTTACTGGTTTTCGTGTAATTTTTTGTTTGTGAAGTCTAAGTGTGAAATGCAAGGATTTTTTAGCCTACTGTAGACCAGTGCATCTCTAGATCGTTTTCTATAAGCATAGAATGTGGTCTTTCTATCTGCCTGTTTGTTTCCTGAAGTAACAACTGATGATAATGCAGGCACTGGTGGTCAAGTCCATTTCTTTGGCCATTGCTCGAGATGGTGCTAGTGGTGGAGTTGTCCGGACTGTGACGGTATGTATTAGCAGTTTGTTTTCATTCTAGTATCAATCTAGTTCATTTTAAAAAGATGTAATGCTAATGCGTGTGCGCACAACATGCGACGCAGCTATATGCACTAGGTAGGCGTAATTGTTTTGTTAATTTGAGTTATTTTCATCATGAGATGTAATATTGGAGATGATTTTACAGAAAGTCTAATCTCTTGCAAACAGATCTTTTTATTTAGTTTCATATTACTCAGCAACTCGTGGTGATGTGTGTGCAGATCAACGAGGAAGGGGTGCAGCGCAAGTTCTATGCTGGAGACAAGCTACCCCTTTTCCACGAGGAGATCGCTCCTCGTCCTACTCCCATTCATGCTAATTGATGAATTATTTCTTTCCTCTTATGCTCCCTGCATCTGAGGGTTTGAATCTCGAGAACCTTCTAGTTTGTAGTAGGTTTGAATCTCGAGAACCTTCTAGTCTGAAGGAGAATCCAATCAATGATCTAGGCACTGAGCCACATCTCACAATATGTTTTTGGTTCTCATGGTGAACCACACTCCTCTTTGATAGGGCGAAGTACATTCTGGAAATCATTTTCAGAGATATGTAAAAAACCCTTCAGAGATGTGTAAAAAGTTAAAAGCATTTGTCTACCTGTACGCCTCTGAAGTCCCAGTATGTAATGGCGTCGAAATGTTTTTTTATACTGCACGCTGTCCAATGGAAAGGTGGAAGGCTACAAATTTGTTGAGATAACAAGCATAGGTCAATCGGTCAGACCAGGAATGGGAACGTGATTTGAAAGGACTACAGAGCGCGTAGTGTTAGTCAATGTGCAGAATTTGTTTTTTCATTCTCATCACAATTCTAGATTAATGATAAGTGCCTCTATTACCAAAAAGTCGAGTCTCTCCAGCAGACTAGTTGGTATGACTAAGGAAGAGGGTGATTATTAAAACATAGGTCGTGCAATTCGCCATTCTACAATTCAAATTATTGCAATGTTTGATTCGAGTATTGCACTTTACCGGCCTTAATAAGTCCCCTCAATTGGTGTTGAACCATTCATAGAATTTGTGTCTATGACTTACTGAGTTGGACTTATCAATCTGCATTCCTTAATGCTGTGAATAGTTTGAGTTGTATAATAAACAACCAATATTTATGTATATATATATATATATATTTATAATCTTAAAAGGAGAAAGAGAAAAATAGTTAAATGAAATAGGTATATATTAAAATATGAGAAATATTGTACTTCTTTAAAAGTTTTATTGATGAGCACACATGTACACTTTCAAGTAATACCATTTTCAATTTTAGCAATTATGCTTTTTATTATATTTTTTTAATTAAATGTTCTTAAAATAAGTTATGTTCAAACTTTTTGAAGGACTTACTTCTGAAACAAGGTGAGAGGTCACTATTTTAAATCCAATGATTGATTAAAATTAAAAAGTATGTATGGAGCAACATAGAAATAATAAACCCTAAATTCTAAATGCACAAATAAATAATTTCTTCTCTTGTCAAATCCACATTTATTTGTTCAAAATCCTTAATTCACAAACAAATAATCTCTATTCTTGTTGGACCCTTATTTATTTATTTGTTGCAAGCAAAAACAACACTTTAATTATATATATAAAAAAACTTACTTAATTCCTCATTTGATTTATAAAAAAATTATTTTTATTATTTTTTAATTATGCAAAAAAAAAAGAATTAGAAGCTTACAACCTAAGAACATCTATTCTAAAAAATATTATTAGCTAAATAATTAAATATTAATAAAATAATATAAATTATATAGAATATTATTATACATATATATAATGATTACATATATAAATTACAAAACCTTACTTTTGTTTTATTTTTATTACTTAAGTGTATTATAATGGAATGCAAAAATTTAAAGAATTCTTTGTAAGTATTATGATAATTTTAATGGTTTATTTTTTTAATTTTTTTTAATTTTTTGGAACTTCAATTTTTTTGTACATAATAATTATATGATATGTTTTTGTCAATTTATATTATATTTAATATGACATCAAAGCTATTTCCAAAAAAGAATATTCTTAATCTTGATTTTTACACCAATGGCTCTTAAATTCATTATAATAATAAAATTTGAATAACATTATAGAATGATGCCATTTAATTTTTATATTTTTTTTGTGTGTGTTTGAGCACTTAAGCAAAACATCTTCTAGATTGGTACCATGGTTAAATACTATTTTTTGGAATATCATCCACAACAATCTCTAAAGATTTTACCTAGCCAACTACTTCATTTTAATATTTTCTTTACTAAGGAGCCACCACTAAACCTTGATTAAATCTTTTTGTGACAATTGTCCTCTCCTATACAAAAATTCTTATAACTTGTAGTAATCCAAATGATGAATATCAATTTAAGAACATGGAATATAAGACTAAGTTTTGGATCAAAATATATAGTCTATACTACATCAACAAATTATACATCTATCATTCTATATTGTTGCCTCATCTCAAAATGTGAATTATAACACTAGCTTTAGCATTACCTTTATACTTATCAAAAACTGTGTCCAAATACCATTACATTGACCATATTCTTCTGTATTAACTTGGCCATGTTCTAGTCAATCTTGACACTTATCAATTGAGTATTGTATTCTTAATTTGCTCCACTATTGTACAATTGTTGTATATTATAAGTCTCTCAAAAAGGCTTACATTACTTGCTTAAAGTTTCACCACAAATTTATACCATGAGAAATAATGGTGAGATTAGGATATTTACAAATTTTGATCTCATAGATGTAATTGAGTTTAGATGAGATGATTGTACGAGAAAGTTTTGAATTTGAAACTTCATTTGTGATTTTTAATTTGAAGTCTGGATAATTGTAACATGAGATATTAGGCAATAAGTCAAAAATAAATATTTTTTAGATAGAGAAGAGATTGAGCTTTGATTTGTAAATTACATGTATAAAAATGAGCTAATTGAAGTATTAATATGAGTGTAATAGGATCAGTTTATCTCAAAAGTCTAAGACTCTTCTAATCTATAGCAACATAAAACCTCATCACAAAATAAGACAAAATGGACTAGAAGAAAACTAAATAGTATAGGATACAAAAGACAAAACTAAGCACATAGAAATAGAATAGAACAAAACTGAATAGGAAGATGATAAACCAAACTTTTCTAAGAAAAAAAGGTCCAAAGTCATACTTGACCAAATTCTCCAAATGGCCTCAGTCAATCCTATTTATACTTTGTTCAATTATTTTGGAATTTTTTAGAATACCCTTAATAGTGGGCTCCACCAAGATAATCACCATTCTAGAAGATTTTAGAGGTGGACTCTACCATGATAACTGCCCTAAGCCTTTCTAGAAGGTTCCATGGTGGATTCTATATAGTCCACTAACCTAGCTCTAATTCTAGAAATTTCTATAACTTCTCAAATATGGTTCCAACTATCTATTCCTATGTGTCAACAATACAAATATCTTATTTATATCATGTTATAGTTAATTTCCTTCCACTAATGCAGAACATCTTTGTTTTGCTTCCGATGGTATTTCCAAATTGTCTCGTGGCAATGGATGAGGTTCTGTATATGTTTTCAAGTTACATTATGGATGGAATAACTTTTTCAAAGAATCTTGTACTAAAGATGTGGACGTCTATTGCCATGACAAAAATAGCAATATCCAAAAATGTTGTCCACTTTATATTCTTGTTGGTCATCAATTCAGACTGGTAGTGCTGGTCGTTGATTTCAATGCGAAAAGCACTTTGAGTTGGTATAAAATTCCTTGAATTATAAAACATAGAAGGTTGAATGGACCAAAATATATGGTGAATGATTGATACTTGCTTGAAATTTCGGTCCATTCAACCTTCTATGTTTTATAATTCAAGGAAAAAATAGTGAATGATTGATACTTGCTTGAATAATATCATTGTAAGCAAATTTCAAGGACATCAAATATTCATCTCAATCATTATAATGAACTACAGCAAACGCTAGTAGCATACCTTTTAAGGTCTTTTTTGTACACTTTCTTTGTTCATCTTTTTGGAAATAGAAGGCTGTAGATATGACAAGTCATGTGCTTAGTAGCTTGAACAAAGTATATAAAATCTTCTTATGAAGCATGGATCCTGATTTAAAAGGATGACACGAAGTAATTCATAGTGACAAAAGTAGTATTGAAGAAGACTTGTACAAATATTGGGGCATCAATATTTGAGCACATTGTGGCCAAGTGAAGTTGCTTCAAAAGTTGGTCTACAAAGACATCAACGACACTGTAATTATAAGGCATGTGCAACAAAGATATAATAAGATCTACAATCATCTACTTCCAATGTGCTATAGGTAGTGGAATTGGCTGTATTAGTCTAAGAGACGCTGCATTGCATGCTTTATTATGTTGATATGACTTGCAAGAGCATACAAAAGCTCAAATTTTATAATCCAAACTTGTCCAAAATCATATCCTTGACATCCAATTTAGAATCTTTTCTTATTTTAGATGTTCAAATATTGGGATATCATATCTCTCTTAAAGTATGGATATCTAGAATATATCATTATTAGGTATATATATTTGCTTCTTAAAATAGTGCAAGCTATTATCAAGGTTGTAATCTTGATACTATATATTGCTTAATTTCAGTCGATTGCTAACCATCTTGAAATAAACATCCCAATGTATAGCTTTCTTTTATTTTGCCTCTTTAGTTAAGTTTGAAATGACACTACAAATGGTAGCAACTTATGCCTTGTCTCTCGATTCGGCCTTCAAGTCTGGTCTCCACAATAAGTTATTTGGTGTAGTATGTTATTGCCCTTCCTTGTACTCAAGCTGTATATCAAAAAGTTGCAACTGTTCTTCTCAACAATGATGTCATGATTTCATATTTTTTAGATGCAAATTATATAACAAGAGTCAATAGTCAATCCGAACAACCATTGGCTTTTTCAACAAATAGTATTATGACATCTTTGTAGTATGTACAATTGTTAATTACTCTTGATCACATGTAGAATAATTCCACTCTACTCTTCTAAGCTTGTATGATTCATATGCTATAAGTTGAAGGTTCTTAGTAAAGTCAGAAGCATCAATGTCGAGTATATAAGGAAGGTTGGAATCATATGGTTACAATATTGGAGCAATAATAAGTGCCTCATTCAACCTATTAAAGGCATTTTTTTGCTCCAATTTCCATTCAAATAGGGCACCTTTCTCTAATAGATTTGTCAATGAGACAATAATGGGTCCAAATCGCTAAACAAAATGGCGATGATATCTAGCAAGGCCTAAAAATGAGTGAACTCTAGATGCATCCTTGGGGGTTGGCTAATCTTCTACTGCTTTAACCTTAACTTACTCCATGCATACACCTTTAGAAGACACCACATGCCCAAAAATGTAACTTCCAACTTCTAAATTTTACATTTTGATTGCTTGCAATAGAAGTAAATATCTTACAATTGATGCAATACTTCTTATAGATTTTACTCATGCTCTTCAGGGATTTTATTATATATAAGGATATTATCAATAAAAAAAAACTACATACTTATCTAAAAGATTTCAAAACAATGTGTTCATATAATTTAAGAAGGAGGTTGGAACATTGATGAGGCCAAAACGTAAAACAATCCATTCAAAATTTCCATAGTGCATATAAAATGCCATTTTTTAATATCTTCTCTTGCAATAGGTGTTTGCTAATAGCTACTCCAAATATCTAATTTGCTAAAGATGGCCACACCTTGAAGTTGATCAAGAAGATTATCTACGCATAAAAGTAGATATATATTCTTAATAATTTGCTTATTTAGGCCTCAATAGTTGATGCAAAGCCGAAGTCTATCATCTTTTTTGGATGCAAAAAGTACAATTATTCTCTATGATGATGTGCTTTTTTGAATGAGATCCTTCTACAATAATTTTTCTAATATCTTTTGAAGCTCTTCAAGTTTATTTAATGCTAGGTGATAAATTGGTCAACTTGTTGATTTGGCTCCAAGTAATAGTTTAATTTAAAATTAGACACTTTGATTAGGAGGCATGCGATTAGGTAGGTTGGTTGGAAAGACATCCTAATATTCTTGTATGAGTTGCTCTGCATGTTCTACTCCATTGGTTGTCTTTTCCACTATTGATGCAAGATTTGAAACCACCATATATAGTAGTTGATTATGATATATTTGCTTCTTCATAAAGGTCATCCCTATAAGTAAGTCTTTAGTTATAAATTATTTTTTCTCTTCACTTGATACAAAGGTACAAAGAATCACTTTGCATCTACCATCTTTAATGGAGATTATCCTTGCTACATGTCACGGACATATACATGTAAGCAAGTAATTACATGTATAAATAGGTAGAAGTAAATAAAAGTAGGTAAAAGTAAGTTAATTCTATAATATTTGCTATAGAAGCTTCTTAGAAGCTTTATAGATGTTGCTTTGATTTTATAGGTGTCTTTAATTGACTTTTTGGATTAGAAACGAGGTCAACAAGTTGGCCATGTGCCACACATGTTGTTAGCTTGAAGACTAAGCTAACTATATAGCCCACACGTAGAAAAACTTGCCTTGTAAGTTAAGGCATGTATCCTACAAAGTCAATACATATTGGAGGTCCTATAGAACATTACCACATAGCCATTAATTAGATAGTATATACAGAGATAAGAGTGAAGCCTTCTTCACTCTTATCAACTCCTTTTTTGCTTCTAGTTTAGTTTCAAGGGTCTCTAGTTTTCTTGTCTTTTGACAATAGCCATTCTATTTTCTTTCTTAATATACATATTGAGTTATTTTTATTTTTTAATCTTTCTTTGAGAGAAGTTTCACTTATTTATTTATATTTATTAAGTTCTTGTCCTTGACACTACGCAATCAATTTGCTTATTTTCCACCTCTAGCCATGGCATATCAAGAATAATATCATATCTTAGCTTTGTTATGTTGAACATCTCTCTTAAGACATAGGTGTCAATCAACCTCAAGATTTCTTTTTCACATGTTTCATTCAATATATTCTCTTGATCATCTATAAGGTATATACTTTCTCCATTGATTACCTTAGTTTTAATCCCAAGTCAATTGGCAATTTCAGTTGAAATTCAATTTTTTTGTAGAGCCACAATCCACAAGCACACAACATGGTTCTCCTCTTAGTAGTCTAGTTAGATGCACCAATAGATTTTTTTTATAGTTGTTCATGACTATGACATTTGTCTTTGAGAGACAATAGCTATTTCCAATACTAGAGTTTGACACCTTTCTTGAAAAGCTTTATTTTCTTGTTCGGTCTTATTATCGAGTTGATGAATCTTGAGATTGTGAATCCACTTTATTTTGTTGATGCTTGAATTTTGACGTTTTAGACAACCTCTAATCTGATGGCTTGGCTCTTGACAATAGAAATACAATCCCTTTTGTGAATATATTTGTAGTCTTTGTAGTGTCAATAATCTTTGTAGGGTATCAATTTCCATTTGTGTTGATTGTTGTGCCATAATATTAGATAGTGGCATAGGACTTTTTGCTATAGGTCATGCTCCATGATTTTTGAAATCCATAGAATTGATTGTCTTTGCAATCCTAATTGTCTCTTCAAATGTTTGTGGATCTCTTAATTCTACCTGTGGCTAGACCTCAAGTTTCAAACCTTGTAGAAATTAATCCATCATCTCTACCTCTGAAACATTGCTAATTTAGAAATATAGAGACTTGAATTGGGAAACATAATCTTACACTGACTTAGATTATATAAGATTTATCAAGTAATCACATGCTATCTTCTTAGCATTGATGGATCATAATTGATTTCCAAACTTGATCTCAAACTCCTCTTAATCACAAAATCTACTTTAAGATCTATAGCTATGAACTTGATGTTGCCACTAAATGGCTGCTGCATCTTTCAAATAGCTGGCTACATACATAATTCCTTCAGTGGTATTTGTCCTAAATAGTTAGAAGTATTGTTGTATGTTGAAGAGCCACTCATATACATCTTCTTGTTTTGAAGTCTCAGAGTATATACAAGAATTACTCAAGTTTAGTTTAACAAATGTTGACTCTCTTGTCTTAGAACCTAGCTCCAATTCTAAAAACTTATATAAATTCTCAAACATGATTCGAATTATCTACTCCTATGAGTTTTTAATATAAATATCTTATCTATATTCCATTACAATGAGGCTTACATAGTAAAGTCATGGGTCATGGAAGTAGATACTAGCACTACATAGATTTACTATTGAATGCTATAGAAGTAGTATAAGACTGGAGTGTAGTCTGTAGATGTGTCAAAAAAGCCCATAGTGTTGTTTCTTTATGACTTTTTAATAGATGAAATATTTGACTAAGAGAAAAAAATTAATTTTTTTATTTTTTTTTATAATAGAATTTAATGTTTGTGTTGCTAATTTGGTGTTCTTTGATAGATTATTGTCAATTTCTATGAAGAAAACAAAGGCATTTCAAGCAAATATCATGGTGAAAGATGCTCCATGCTATGGAGAGTTACAATGAGGTGAGTGAGTGTGCATAAGATATTTATAGCTAGAGACGATGTCCTAGAGAAGAAGAGAGGTAGGTGGATGTGTATCAAGATGAAAGTTGGAAACGAAAGGAAGGGAGAGATGTTGGAATGAAGATTGAAAATAAAAGCAATGAGAGTTGAGAACAAAGAGAGCAAAGATTGGGAACAAGGGAGATGCAGATGAAGGTTGAAAATGGAAGGAGCAGGGATTGAAAACAAAGAGAGTTGACATTCTAATGTTGGTTTTTGGAGACAATTCATTTTTCTTATGATAGTTATAATAAGATATATTGATTTAGTAAATGAGTGGGTCATTTTAATATATGTATATATATATATATATATATATATTAGAGAATTCTTTAGAATTAATATTAATTAAAGATGTTAGTATAATTGATTAAGGTTGTTACTTCTTTGTACAAGATAAGTGGTTTGAATCCTAATAGCAACACACAAAATCTATATTTATTTGTAAGTTAATTTGAATGGCCCTTCTATTTGCTTACTTTTTATCCTCTTTATCTTACCTCTTGGCTATTGTATCTTAAATTATGTGGGTGGGCATGAATGAGCATATCAAGATATAATTAGAGTTATTAAAAACATCTAGATAGATTAAAAAAAAAGTTACTAAATATTTCTTCTTATTTTAATTATGATAAAGATTAGCCCTAGGAAGTTCAAGGATGTATTGATTGAATCAAATCGTATTATTAAAACATTTTAGCATGCCTATTGTACACATTTTAGTATGTATATTATGTACACTAAACTATCCAAATTATATGCATTATTTGTAATAAATTACAACCTTTCATAGCAAATAAGAATGCATCTATTGAAGATAATAAAGACGTGTTTATTTTTAGACATAAGGTTGTAAATGTATTATTTGTTCCATTTTTCATCTTTTTGCAGACAAAGTTAGATGAAGTTTTTACTACTTTATCCAATGACAGGTTTCGTACACATAAAACCCAAATCTCTTACTTTTAACTTTTAAATTCTCTTTTTTGTATATTTTTCATTAACAGAATTCAGAACTTCTGATTTTGGGGTTGGTGAAAGGCCAATGGATGAGCTTGTGAAATGCCACCTCAGGCAAGCCAACAATCACAAGATCTCAAGTTTTTCCAAGCAGCTTCGGCGAAATTAGGGTTTGCAGGTAATCAGTATGTCGTTGTCTTGTGGTGAAAGAGTGAACTTCAAGCTATCGACTCCGAGGGCACACCCACAGTGCTTTGTGGGTTTTCTGATTAAACCTACTCAGGATGCAACGTCAATATCAACCCTTCTCTTAACCTACCGCATAACACCGAATTCTGCTTCCGATTAACGATTCCGCTGCAGAAATTCCTGTATCGTTTTGGGTTGCTGAAATGCGTGCTTGACATCCATACTTGAAGCATTGCTGTGAACACCTCAAGTTTACCGTATCGATTTGCTATGAGATTTGTGTCGTTCAATTAGGATTCCAATTTGACCAACAGTTGTGGGAAGTCTGAGACTTGGCTCCAATTCAGGAATACTTAGCAGTGCTTTTTTTTTTTTTTTTTTGTAACTCAGAGATTTTGTTCCTGAACGCTAAGATTTCCGATTTCGGGTTTTGGGCTCGAAGTCTTGAGAGGTTTTGGAAATCATTTGAAATCGTGTAGTTTCACCTAGTGAGTTGCTTGTGGCGTTTTTGAAATGGGAGGATGTAATTAGTAATTTGCAATTTAGAGAATCTGAGGGGAGTTGGTTGTTCGTTGTTGTGGTCTGGAGTGAATGAGTGAACTCGCACTGCGGCGAAGATCAAGAGTGTATTGCGAATGAGGGCAAGGCATTGTGGTGTTAGAGTTTTGGTTTGGGTTGCCAGCTTTGAGAGAGGATCTGCGTCTTTATGATGAGAAGTGAGTGTGTGTGATGAGCAGCTTGAGAAGACGTGATTGTGACGCTGAGAAAGTCCACCACTGATGGTACAATTCAAGTGGCAGCGATTGCCTGGGCACAGGAATCTCAAAGGCAGAGCAGGGCACACCGCTACGCTGGTTGGAAAACAGATTTTTGTGCTCGGTGGTCGGATCGGAAACATATTCTTCAACGATGCGTGGGTGTTCGACACGGAGACAGAGCAATGGCAGCAGCTGCAGGCTCATTGTGCCTTCAGTCCACGAGCTTACCATACCGCGACTCTTACAGGTGACGGGGAATTGTGGGTCATTGGTGGGAGTGACAGAGACGTCATGCATGGTGATGTGCACATGCTTAGCACCAAGACTCTTGAATGGACGAGTTCAGCGACAGCAGGGCCGTTGGCGGGCAGATTACTAGGCACTCACGCGGCTGTTGCGCATCCCTTGCGATCAAATGCAATCTTAGTGTATGGCGGTTATGGCGGTGTGGACTCCAAATGGCTCAGCGACCTCGCTGTTCTCGACACCGGTACGCTGGAATGGGAGATTCTCAAGCCAGAGGGTCCTCCTCCCGCCGGTCGAGGCTATCACACCATGACCTGCGTAGGGGAGAACGTGATCATTTACGGAGGTAAAGGCGTGCATGGCATCATTGGATCTGCTAACAACCTCAGTGTTTACAACAGCGCTACTAACACATGGGGAGGTCCTCAAATGAAAGGGATTCCTCCAGTGCAACGCTCAAACCACGCCGCTACTTTGTTCGGAGAGAATTTGATTGTGTTTCATGGAGGTCGGAATGGGATTGAGCGTCTGAGGGATATGTGTGCACTCAAGGTTGACTCGGGCTACGGTAGTCAAATTCGTTTGACATGGCACCTATTTCCTCAAGAACCGGTTGCGAAGGTGCGAGCTCGCAAACGAGCTGAGGATGGAGCGGCGGAGGGACTGTCGAATAGCCCTGGTGGTCGAGCAGCTCACAGTCTGATTGCTAAAGTTAATCAAGCTCTTTACGTTTTCGGTGGATATGGTGGTTCCGGAGTAACCTTTGATGATATGTACGTGCTCCGAAATTTCGCTGAGGCCTCAGGAATGGCTGATGTTGGGGAGGTCCCTGTGGGAGAAGCTGTGAGAAGAAGTGGTCGGAGATTTTCTTTTCCAGTTGAGGAGCCAGGAATGGGACCTATCGATGGGTGGCGCAGCACAAAGAAACCCCGGCGACCACCTGCAGGAACCCTAGATTACAGTTTGGATTCAAATGTTAGAGTAGAGTGCGTCGATGGTCGTGGCAGTGAAGCTTCAGCACTTCGACAAGTCTTGGACTTAACCAAGACTACACCGCTAGAGAAGGACTTGCGAACGGTCAAGGAGCAAGTTAACAAGCTTTTGTCCAAGTCAAGGTCAGACAAGGATTTCCTGAAGGTTAAGGAGGAGGTAAGTGAACTTGTATCTAAATCGAGGTTAGATGGAGCAGAGCGGCTGAATGAATTGGAGGTTCGCCGGCGAGAGGTTGCAGGTCTGCAGCAGACAGTTGCTGCTTTGAGTGGTGAAATTCGATTCCAAAGTTCCGGTGAGACAGCCATGCGGGAACGGAACGCGGTGCTGGAGCACGATCTTGAATTGCACCGCCAGCAAGTATCCACTTTGAATGAGAGGCTAGAATGGTTGACTGCGGAGAATTCAAGCCTGAGGTCAGTGCATCAGGTGATGGACACGCAAAAGGCTGATAGGATAAGAGAAAGTTATGAAATGACGTCGAAGGTCTTGTCTCTGGAGCAGAGGTTGGCTGATGGAGACAGAGAGCATAGCAAGACGCTGCAGATGCTTGGACATGCCGAATCCAAGAATGCCGATCTCAATCGTTTGCTCGAGGAAGTGAAGAAGGAGAAGAAAGCTGTTACTCTTGAGTGCAGCGAACACAGAATGAAAGCGCACAAGATGGAAGTGGAGCTTCGAAACTTAGAGCACGTGCGAGCGAACTTCGACAAAGATAAAGGTGCGTTACTGAATCAAATGGCTGAGGCCCAAATCAAGTTGGAGAGAGTGTCGGGAGAGTTGGCAGCAGTGAAGGAATCTGCACGAACTCTTCAGGACACGGTGGAAAGGCTTGCGAAGCAGCTTGAGAGGGAGAACTCGAGGGCGGATGCTCTGGAACGGGACCGAGATGAATTAAGACGAGCCTACAGTGCAAATTCCTCAGAAATTTCTCAGATCAATTCTGCCCGTGAGAGTGCTGAGGCAGCTGCCGAGCTCGTGCGATCTGAGCTTCGAACAGCTCGTGTGTTGCTTGAACGGAGCGAAACTGAGAATGGAAGGCTGCAAGAAGCAGCTGAAAATGCGCGGGAGCATTTCGCCTCTCAGCATTTGGCGTTGAGGAAGTACGAGGAAGACGCTAAGTCTCTCAGAGGCGAATGCGAACGATGGCGAAAGCTAGTGAGCGAGATGGAGGACTTCGAACAAGCACAAGCGCAAACTTTCCAAAATCACGTGGAGAAGATTCGCATTGCTCGCCAGCTCTAACCTCAGTACAGTTATCCCTTCATAGCTCAGTTGCCACCGACAGGATGTTATGTTAGTTCTCTGTGTCACTCGCTGTATATCAACCAGGTGAGCTCCTAGAGTGCCTCATCTTTGCTTGCACTTACTTGCTATTGGTCTTATTAGACCTAGATCGTTGGTTATGTTAAAGATGTTGAATTGTTTTACTACTGAAATCGATGAAGTGTTTTGGGTGTGAAGTTTTTGGGATGTTGTCATATTGGTGAGTTTGTTCGCATCTAAGTCGAGGTTAACCTGACTAAGCTTGCCATGTTTTACAATTCCAAGGTCATTGTTCCTGGAGACTTAGAGGATGGCTGTTTCAGTTTCTCGTCGGCTGCGTGTGAACAATGGAAGAAATGTTTCAACGAGCTGCCAATATAACACAGGTGAGGAAAGATTCACTGGTACGAGTCACAAATCGGTGGAGCATAATCACTCCAGAATGTTGCCTTGCATATATCACGACTGTCTATCTCCACAACTGTTCCTTTTTATGGGTTGGATTTGTGTTGCTGATATTTTCTCGAACTTCTACAGGGATAGTAGCAAGTCAGACTTTCTAGGCGGGGGCTTAACTTCGATGGAGCATAGAAAGTGTTATGTCTCCTATTGGTTATACCATGAGCCCAAGAACCTGTTACTCTTTATAGGCATTAAGACACCGTGGTTACTTTCTTTGTGAAAGGCAAACCGTATGTCTTCAAGTATCAGATTTCAATCATGACAGAATATAATTGATTGAGCGCGATGAATGAACGTGTAACATGTTTGCAGGCATGAAGCAAATGCTTCGTTATAGCTTTTGGCTGTCATGCAAGCGTCCGGAAATCTAAACCCCTGTTAATTGAAATGAGCTTGTGCTACCATCGCAGTGAGCTCACTGCAGTTTAAGCTTGTGTTGCTTGATAAACCAGTTGTGTAATTAACTCTCTGGACCCAGAGGCACATCTAATGCATGAAAAATGCGGGACACACATCCCTGCATGTGTCCACTTATCACCCCAATAGGGTAGTCTCTTCACAGATCTTCTGTATCGCAATGAACTGGAAAGTTGTTTATGATTCCCATCACAGAAAATTTGGGTGCACAGTTTATATTGTGTAGACCATGGCATGATCTTGAGGTGAGCGATCGCCGGATACTTAGCGTTGTGATACACTCTTGTTTAGGAAACAATAGTTTCAAAATGTGTAGAAACAAAGTCTGAAACTGTAATTGCGATCTGCAGGGAAAACTGACAGCGAGTTATTTACTAACTGGTTCAAATTTTTTATGATTAAAATTTGAAACTCCTGACGAATTGAATTGAAAACATCACTTGCCTTTCTCGTACATTTAGACTTCGCCTAGTTCTTTTTTCTTTTCTTTTTACCCCAAGGCTCTTAAAAGCTTGCTATTTCATTGTTTTCTTTGGGTTCCCTCTCCCAGCTAGATGAACATGCAGCCTCTTACGGGGTGCTGTCAGCCGGACGGACATCATCTCTGCCATCTTCAACCTCGGTATTATCTCAAAATCCATCGTCTTCATCGTCATTCTTGATTCCACTTGTGGCAAGATCTCTGGTAACTTCACGTTGATTCTCAGCGGGTCATGCAACATTCTTAGGAGCTCCATCAGCAGCTTCAAAGCGGCTCTGGACCTGGCTTGTAGCAAGACCTTTAGAACCATCAAGTTCAGCAATGGTTTTAGGATTTTTATGAGAAATTGCCGTCCTCGTGATCACTAATGGCTTAACCTGTAGCCAGATCTTCAGCTTCATCAGCACGAACTCTTTCCTCTGGTGACAACCCAACTCCTGAAAAGTCCTGCTGCATGTTAATACAATCCTTCAAGCACTAAATCACCCAATGGAACTGATATGCGTCGTCTTCGATAGGTTATTTCACAAAATGCCGATGGTCAAATGGCTAGACATCTCCAAAGGCACAAAGCTTATCTAAAAATTCATAAATGATACTTGTCCAAAAAAGTATTACCGAACTGTCGGCAAGCATTTCCAAAGCACTAACAGGAGGCTGAATGCTAGCTAGCATTACCAAGCAATTAACTTAAACCAACAGTTACCTACAGGAGCAAGACAGGAGATGGGAGGTGTACTGACATATCCAAGCCGACTTCGCTTCGGAAATTTGGAGCATGAACATGATCTAAATCAACGGACTGCAATATATCGATGATGTAAAGATGACCCTGCAACAATGAACCATGATAATAACTCCATAAAGTTGACACTGCTTGTAAATGCCTAAACTACAGTAACCTAAAAGCCTCCAAAAACGGATGATTCCAGTGATGTTAAAATTTAATGAATTAAACCAATCCATTAGGGTTTATGTATTGCCTTCGTAAATGCTAAAAAGTCTTTCACAAGTATTATGATACAATGGAAATCTCCAGTCTGTGCCAGGCACATTACAAGGTATAAGCTGTTCCTCATAATAAACTGCGTTGTATTCACTCATATCTCCACGTGCGAGCTCACATACTTCACGACCACCAGCATACACGAATATTTAGTACCCAGGGTAGGTCAAGAAGGTTAACTATTAAGCGCCACATTTACCACTTTTCTAGTCGAAATACATTCATTAAGCTCCTTGGACACAACACCTTTCAGCACCTTAAATTACCGTCCTATTCTCGAGGGCCTGAAATCTTAAAAAAAAAACGCACAAATCAGAGTTTATTGGTAGATTCAACAACACCAGAACATAACTTATTTACGACTGAAATTCACACATCCTAGAGAAAAAAATCGGCTCATACATGCTCCGTACAGGCACTGTCCTCTTTCCTCTTCACATATATACTACCTTCGGCTTATCACCGCATATTTTTTAAACGGAGTTGGTCACTTCCATGTCGAAATGCTTCTACAACAGTGCAGTCTCAGTCTCCTCCGTCATCTCGAGCGACCAGGATGTCGAGGGGCCACGGTCTACATTAGATTTGAAAAGTTTCAGATATCGCGTTTGGGTAAAGATCGTCGCACTTACAAAAGAGGATTCTGAATGAAATTATGAACACCTAAATACAAAGCAAGCTCTAAGCCACTCATCGTGTTTTTTCGTTTATATCCATAGTGAAACATTATATTCATGTCTAGTGGTGGAATCAATCCAAATCTCAACTAAGCGGATGGAATGAGCACCAAATTTTAGCTTCATGTTCACCACCACTGCTGTCTCCCGCAAAAGCTGGACAAACACCATTATTGTAGAGGCTATGTGAAACAACGGAAGAATCACTCACGGTGCTCCAGTTGGTGCTAAAGAAAAAGGATCCAGGGACCCAAGAGTACAAATTACAGAGTTGGAAGTCATAAACCCTACAACCTGATCAACAAACTTCTCAAGGCTCTACCTCACATTTGTGAGCAAAAGTAGTAGCAGCAACCATTAACTACAGTTCCCTCTCCAAAGTATCAATACAAGCATTGTTGCAGCAGGTCACGGATGCTATAATTGGATGAAAGATTTACCGCCTAATCGTGTTTAAGCTTATTTGTAACACCATGTGTCAACGAATTTAAAGACCTCTGTTCATCTATATGAGTTGTTCCTGAACCAGAGACTTAGGGCTACACGTGAGGTCTCTTTTTCGTCCCGAGAGAGTTGGAGCCCTTGAACACCGTCGGACCTATTCTTGTACAGCTCTGATGTTGGTTTGCCTTTGATAACGGTGGTGGGTTGGTAGGGAGAACAAGTTTTTGAATGCAAAGCTGACAATTTTCTGGCTGAGGATATATAATTTTAGTTTTTTATGTTTTTGCTTGGTATCAATAACATTGGTGAAGGGCCCAAATTGGAGATTGACGAGGAAGGAGGTGGGATGACTTGAATTTGTGCTCCATGGTGCAAATTGAGGAGAAATAGATTTAGTTGGAATTCCCTCTGTGTGTGTAGGTTATGCAGTAAGTATGAAGAGGTTGCCCGTTTTATTGTAGGACGGCTGATATTGGAATTGAAGCAAGCCGTCGTGGAAGAGATTAGAAAGAACGGAGTGGGAAAGGGCTAGAGCGCGGGAAGAGATGGAGGCCTCCACGTCCTCTGCGATGGTAGCTCGCCAGACATGGGAGATTGAGAACAATATCGTCGCCATGGAATCACCCGCAGCTGCTTCAGATTCCGATGCCATCTTTGAGTACGACGAGGCTTCTCAGAGCAGCATCCAACAGCTGAAGCCTTGGAATCGCGACCCTCACTTCTTCAAAAACGTCAAAATATCCGCCCTCGCGCTGCTCAAGGTTCGCCGGTTTCCTCGATTTCCATCAGTGCTTCTCTTCTAGCCCTAATTTGGCGTGCTTCAATTAGAGGATGATAGGTTTTACTTTGTCTGTTTTTCCGTGGGGGCTTGTTTCAGTATGAATCTGATTTCGTGATTATACTTAGCCTAGACACCCATGCGAGCGTAACTCTTGTGCTCTTCTATCTAGGTTTTTCTTGGTAACTTATAAGTCCTATCGAAGAAGAACAAGATTTAAGGCTGATGGTGACCACTTAACCTTACAAAATTTATTGTAGTTTCATCTTGAGGCAATTCAGCTTGGTAGTTGTTTGCATCGGAAAACTTTTAATGTAGGCCTAACGTTTCAGGTAGTCCTTTTATTATGTTAATTCTCAGACGACGCTTCGATAGGTTATAGTAGAGAAACTGCGCCCTCCAAGATGGTGGATGGATTTTACTGAATTAGTTCTCCCTTGACCTCCCTGTCATTGAAACGTTTACGTCACTAGAAACTAATGCACTAATCGCTTTCTGGTGAATGAGTACAAGCGTACCGAGGGCCCCTATCGTGTGTGTGGTTTATATTTAGATATCATGGTTATTACTCGTTTTTGGTTGCGTCCAGAGATGCAATCTATGATCTTTGTTGGCTTCTTTGTTTTTTTTTTACTGACCAGGTCTTTTGCTCCTGACCTTGCCTTGTCTTTGGTGCGGGTGTAAAATCGTTGATTTTGATTGCTAGCCTTTTCATTTTATTAGTTCGTTTCTATTTCAGCAGCTATTTAGTAGGGACAATTTTAACGACTTCTACTTAGTTTACCTCCTGTGCAGATGGTCGTTCATTCCCGATCAGGTGGCACGATTGAGGTCATGGGCTTGATGCAGGGAAAGACGGATGGAGATACTATAATAATAATGGATGCATTTGCTTTGCCAGTAGAGGGCACGGAGACTCGAGTGAATGCTCAAGCAGATGCTTATGAGTATATGGTGCAGTACTCTCAAACAAATAAACAGGTAGATCTCTCTCAAATTCATTTACATCTTCTCTACTTCCAGTCTTGTTGAGTTATTCAGCTTGAATATATTGACGGCCTCGAATGTAGATAATATTGCTTCAAGAATGGTGAAGTTATATTGTCATTGGATACATCACGCAGGTGGGAAGGCTAGAAAACGTGGTAGGCTGGTACCATTCGCATCCTGGCTATGGATGTTGGCTTTCAGGTATCGATGTATCCACTCAAATGTTGAATCAGACTTATCAGGAGCCCTTCTTAGCCGTGGTAATTGATCCAACACGCACTGTGTCTGCTGGAAAAGTTGAGATTGGAGCATTCCGCACCTATCCTCAGGGTTACAAGCCGCCAGATGAACCCCCATCTGAGTATCAAACGATACCTTTAAACAAAATTGAGGATTTTGGTGTTCATTATAAACAGGTAATGATCTACCTTGTTATGCCATTTTCAATAGGGTGATGGTGCACATGTCGTGGTTTTTATCTCCATCTAACTTGCTTTGAAATGGTTTCACGGTTTTGGGTGCTTTGGTATTGTGTTATGTTTTTAATCGGCAATTGAAGGAGAAATTCGTTTACGGTTTCTGTGTGAGGTTGCAGTATTATTCTCTTGATATAACCTATTTTAAGTCGTCATTGGATTCGCACCTCCTGGACCTCCTCTGGAATAAATATTGGGTCAATACTCTTTCATCCTCACCTTTGCTCGCCAATCGAGATTATGTGGCAGGACAAGTGGCCGATCTTGGTAAGCTACGAAAAGCCATCCTTTTTATCAGGGTCCTCAGTATCAGATGGTTATGCGTTTGTTGATATTCTGGGTACAGGTTATGAAGGAGCAATGACGTGGTGCCCTTGGTCATGGTGTTTATATCAATGTCGAATCATCATATTAGAATGATGCATGTATTGTTGAGCAGGTTGATGCTGGTACTGGTTTGATATGTCGTTGAGAATGGTTTGTAGTTTACTAAGGTTTACAATGCGGAAAATTAGTCATATTTGATTGGATCTTAATTCTAACTAGGGGAATTGTTTTTCCAGCCGAGAAACTGGAGCAAGCAGAGAGTCAGCTAGCTCATTCTGGGCGTATGGGAGGGTTCTTCATGCCAGTGCAAAAGAAAAAGGAGGTATGGGTCATCATTGAAGCTTAATTACCCAATCTATTAGTCGATCCTTTTTGTCCTTTGAGAAATTCTGACACATCGTTTTTGTCAATTCGACTGATTATTTGGATCGAGAGCTGAGGTTTGTTGTTTTGTTGCTCAGTCTACCGTGAGAAGTCCTTTCGTGCACAATAGCTTTTGATCGGCCATTCGTTTTTTTGTGCACTTGCTTCATGTGTAAAAGAAATGGTTTGACTCACCTTTGCAGGAAGAGTCACAGCTTGCCAAGATATCGCGTGACAGTTCCAAGATAACTGTGGAGCAGCTGCACGGGCTTATGTCGCAGGTTATCAAGAATACTTTGTTCAATGTAGTGACGTCAAGTGCCTCTGCTTCTGCTGCAGCGTCTGCTGAAACACCTACTTCAGCCACAGACTCCTCGGGACCGGAACCTATGGTAGAGGCATAATCTTGTGAACAAATGTGTATTGGTGTTAAACTCCGTTTCAGCAATGGCTTCTTTAAAAGTTAAGCCATGTTAGTGATTAATTGTTACACTATTGCTTCTTTCGCTCCTGCGGCAAAGATTTTCGCACCACGAAGACTACAGGCATCATGATGTGTGTAAATCTGGAATGTGGAATGGCAACCATTTTTTGTGCACTGAAAAATAGCTAAACTTTGGCAAGCAATTGGAGAGCTGATGTTAGTGGTATCATGGCACTGCTTCGTTTATTCCTGACGCTTTTCGGTTTTCTTCTGTGGGCTGGTGCAGATACTTTTGTAAATGGTCAGACGTAATCAGTAATTTGTCAAAAAATGGTTGCCACTCCATTCTATATCTCTAAATGGCAAAGTAAACTTCTCGACCTCACGGGAATGAAAGCCTTCATTTTTACTCGCTTGAAGGTCGCACGTGTGTTGACAATATCACTTTTGAAAGCACAACCTTGCAACATTCTACTAGTAAATGGAGCATAAAACACTATAATTTCAACATGGCTTAGAATATTCGGCAAAATGGATAAAAATGAAAATAGCGCATGACCTTGCCACAAGTCCTTGAATTTCAAGCTCCTATGCCCATTAGACTACACTGTTCCATTCGAACACTATTCACCAGATTCATCAGAGTTGCTTGCATTTGCTGTTGAATTTGCAAATAAAATCACAAATTCGAGTGTCCACAAGATTTACCTCTTCAGAAGAAATGATCACCAAACACTTGTACCCTGATTGATTCAGTTGAAAGGAACGAAAATTGCTTTTATAGTTCTAAAAATTATCACATTAAATTACATCATTCAATACTTAATATCATAAATTTCCAAGGTTTGCCATGCCATAATATAACTTGCCATAACCTTGTCATAACCTTGCCATAACCTTGCACATCAGAAGTGAATGTTCCTTGCCTCTCTTGCTCAGGGAGTTGCTGCTCTTGTCAATCCTGTAGTGAGGGATTTTGTTGCAGGTAGTACAAGTGAACGTGAATATGAGGTGAAAGAATTGTGAAGAAGAGAGTTTTGGTCATCAAAATTAAGACATCTGAGAAGCAGAGCTAGTAAGTGCCTCATTCATCCACTAGATGCCTGCTTTGCCCTGCAGATTGATATTACATAAGAGCGACACTACTAAGTCACAGAGTTAAGGAATGGGAATGCTGATGGTGACCACACTGAATCCACTTTCTCTGCCAAAAAAAGCTTTAGCACTATCTTCACTTCAATGGACGACTTAGTATCCATTCATGAGGCTTACTAACAGGGTTGATTGGTGTTCATACACTGGAAGGACCCTAGGCACCTTGATTCAAGTTTTCAGTCCAATGTCATGGTACTTAATATTTTAAATTTATGGCATGGCAAACCTTGGAAATTTATGATATTAAGTATGGAAAACCATGGAAATTTATGGTTAACATAGTTATGCCATGTTAAGTTATCAGAATATGGTTTGCCATGCCATAACATGCCATAACCTTGGATGTTAACTTGACATGGCATGCCAAACCTTGGAGTATTCAAGGTCTAGACTTTTAGAGTCATCCCATTCAACGACAATCGCCATCATGCAGATGATGATAATTTCAAAAAGAAATACATCTACTCTAGCATTATCAATAAATTGAAGCTGTGGCACAAAGACAACTTGTATTAACAAATACAACACCACATTTGAGTGCTAGTCTTCGAATATGGTAGTACAAAGAAAGACGATCGTTATAATCACTTTCAAAATCCTGTGTACAGATGATTCACCTAATCTGCAGCTCTTGCACTGACCTGTTCTATTTGTATAAATACAAAATGTAGTTGATAGTTCCTACAAGGAAAACAATGTCAGAGGCCTTGAATTTGAGAGATTCAAATTTAGGACTTTGCTAATTACAAACCTATCAACTCTGTTCATAATGTGGCTATTGCGCCGAGCAGGAGAATTTTGCTGAGAGGGCATATCCAATTTCAAAGCATAACCAAATAATCCCTGTGTGCCTAGTTTACGCTCTTCAATGAAGGAAGTAGCCGTTGAGACCTGCAGGTTTTCCTGGTTCGAAAAGGTTGAACAGGTTCGTGGTAACGGCAACAACGCTGGAGAGGATTGCGAGGATCACCATCACCACGGCCTGCTTCTTGTCGCTCTTGGTTGCCAACAACGGCTTGTCCCTACACGATAATAAATCCACAAATATCAGAATAAGTAGATCAATTTCTTTAAATACCAAAAGAAATAGTTATCAACTATCCGTAATTTCAAGGCCAAAGGAAGTTTGGCATCACAACGATGAACTTTGCAGCATGGAGGTGGACTTACTTGAGCAAGACGATAGCAGGGAAGATGAATCCCAAGCAAACAGTAGCGGTTGCACCAGTGAACTGAAAAGCAATCCATATGTTGGGTACCACAGCTGAACCGAAGAAGATGCAGCAGATGAGGAAGCCCGTGACGAGAGAGAATCGAATTGTATCGTGAGCAAGAGGGGTGGCCCTGGGGAACAGGATGGCGTCGAGGTTGAGGCGAAGGGAGAAGTTAAGGAGGGGGAATACCAGCATGATATGCACGGCGTAACTGATCCGGACGATGATGCATATGAGATGGGAATACGGTACACCGAGGTCGGTGTCAAAGTTGGACAAGATATCATGACTCGTTGCCTCTCCGAAGAGAAGATATCCAAAAGTGGCAGTGCACAGGTAGATAGTGCCACACAGAAACATCGACCATTGCACTACATTCTTCATCGTTTCGTGGGAGGAGTCGGCAGTTCCGGCAAGCTCATTTGCAATTGGATGTACTGTAGTAAGTCACCCAAAAAGTCCAAAATTAATGAGATGCATGTAGTGGCTATCATATAAGACCCTCAAACCCTAAACCTGCACACATTCCAAAAGATTGAATAGGGACAGAAAATGATGTGCAAGAGGAAGGGGATTGCGAAGACAGTACCGTTGTGATGACAAATGTAGGCAGTCATTATGACAGGAATGACGGTGAAGGCCTTCCAGAATGACTGTTGGTCATAAACATCTGGAGTGAGCCTTGGCCACACAATTTCGCCAGCGACGAGTTTCCACATCGTAACACCGGCAATGACGACTACGAACACAACTGCCAGTGCGACTGACAAAGCTGATGTCCACTTCAAAGAATCTGAAATCAATCACCACAAGAACCAGCCACTCAATTACGGCGCGGAGAAACATGACCAAGACTCACCTGAAAAAGCCTAGATTCGAGTCAAAGAATGAGTGCAAACTTGTAGAGGAGAAACGAATTTTAACAATTAGATTGGTTTAATACTTACCAACATGTCGGAGCGAGACGAGCGGGAGAAGAATGACAACCATTACAGTGAAAAGAACAAAGGTGCGCTCATTCCACCATGTTGCGCCTCCCGCCCACTCTTCAAGCACACCTGTGTAGTGCTCCCCTCCTCCTGTGCTTCCCGACAACACGTCGCCGATTATGATTAGGTACACGATGAGGATGCCGAAGTTGTTGATTATGATACAGAGCTGCACCACGACACGGCCTAATGTGCCAAATGCATCTCCCATCAATCCACCATAGGACCTCGCTCCCGACGGCCGAGAGTATCGCAGCATAATTTGAATGGAATTCTCGCTGAGAAACCCCATAATTATGATGCTGAGAATGCCCAGCGGTAGACCTAGCACCTTCATGGTGGCCGGCAGTGCCATGATCCCAGCGCCCACAATGGTCGTTGAGAGGTTGAAAACCGCGCTAGGCACAGAGGCTTCGTGATAATCTTCGTACACATCCTCCTCAATCATGTCCTGTCTCTTGCTCGGCAGCAGCGGCGTCCTATCTGTAGTCATCTTAGATTGCTGATCTTGCTTCTTCAGCGAGTCGGCCATCGTTACAAATCCAATAAAATCGAGGTTTCGTTGTAATTAGGCCGAGAAAAGATAAGATAAGCGCTGAGAGTTCAACAAAATTACACAGTACACTATCCGACTTTGATTCGTTCCATACAGAAAACAAATGTTGTGCTAAAAACGAAAACGATCCGAGTCTCAGAAGCCCTTGAGAAATGCCAATCGGTTCTATCAGTTCCTCGACTACGCTACTTGGGTCAGGATTCAGCTACGAAATCCTCCAGAATCCGCCCCCGGAACTCTTTAACGCCGTACTACTCGGTGCAGAAAACGAAAGATGTGTAGTGTGCGCTTCGAAGCAATTGATTCCGCGATGACAGCAAATGTGGTGAGACAGCGCCAGGAATGCCAGGCAAGGCGAAAGTTTTGGAAGGAGGTAAGCTCTCCGTTCTGCGAAATGTCAACCACAAGCTATCTCTCACGCTCTCCCGAAGACGTACCATACACGGCCACACATCTTACACACTTCCTACAGAGACACACCACGGAAAACCCAGCAGACAAGCCCAACACGGTCAAATCACAAATAACAAGCTTCTTCCTACAACTTAGTCAATCATTTGACGTCACGCTGTAGAACTTGTCGTGGATTGCAATTTATGCCCGATTTCGCCCCCAAGAGCCTCAAAGACTTTCCCCAACACCGAACAGCCACAAATGTCTCTGAATGCGGCGATTCAACGTCCTAAATAAAGCTCTTCTCCACAGCCAGACTCTAATCTTTCCTTATGCATCAGGTGTATAACGATGCATGTGTAAGAGTATATAGTTGCACTCATGGACCGACCAGCAGACACACCGAAAACATGCGTCCAACGAATCCACGTGAAAACAGTGCCACCATACGCAATGTCCTCAAAAAAGACCAAGTAAAAGGAGGTTACCTAGATTGCAGCAACTCACGCAACTTGCGTACGAGCAATTTGCAGTATTGCATTTTTCTTTTACCTGAATCTTTTAACTTTAAGGAAAGGAGGCAGGAAACCCATATGCCTGACAAGCCGAAACTTGAATATAATAAGATGAACATGGAAGTGAACCAACTTGTGTTTATAAAATTGGCGGCCATGCAAGTGACTCCCACCGTATGTAGAGCTCCGAAGCTTCTTTAGAGGATTCACTGTAGAATCTGTTGTCGAAGCCAAAATTTGGGGTCCGATTCCGATAAAGTTGGAATCGATTAACCACAGAAGGAGGCGAGGCCCACTCGCTGGAACCCATCTACAGATTCCGAGGAATTCTAGTGGCTAAAATTCATCCTGATACCCGACGCCGGAGCGTATTACTTTCAACACCACAATGTCCGTTATCCGAATCCGACGATCCTCCTGAGCCAGAAACCCTCACTGGCAACCACACCATCGATGAGCAAATGGTCCAATTCTCATACCAATTACCGAAAGCACAATTCCCCGAGGGTATTGAGAGTTGCTGCAATCCCGAATGCGACATTGGATTCGAAGTAGGGTTAAGACAGTTGCGGTTCTCTTCACACGAATATCGAAGGATGAATCAAAATCACTGTTCAGTTTCACTCGCACTTTACGCAGACTGAGAAAATTTCGTCGACCCCACCGCAGAGGCCAACCAGCGATCGCGAACGTCGGGTTCCACAGATGCTCCTCGCCCACCACCTGCCAATTCGTAATTGCTTGCGTGGTTGGAAAGCTCCATCAATCCCGCCATTCGCAACTTCTTTTTTCCTTTACCTCCCTCTTTCCAGAATCCTAACTTCCTTGGAATGATTCCATCCCGTCGAATGGTGTCGCAGCACAGCTGCAACAATGGAGCCAGTCATCGGCAAGCTCTGTGGGTCGTGAGTTAAGTCCGGTAATTGAAACAATCAAATGGTTTGAATTGGGAACACGTGTCTTGAAGGTCACGCCAACACATATCCTAACCTCCATATTTCATCCTACCTTCATTCATTCGCTTGGGAGCCTAATTCCGCGCCTACTTCTCAGCTTACCCAGTTTTACTGGCTCAGCCTATTTTTGTACACGTGGCAGTATGCTTTCGGTTGAGTGACTCGAATTGAGCTTATCCGGTATGGAATTATGTTAAATTCCCAGAGTTTGGCAGGTTACATTATAAAGGGAAAAGCTTAGCCAGTCACAATAGTTGTCCTCACCAATGAGCGGTGGCCTTGTGGGCCCGTCTTGTCAGTGCTTGAGAGGCCTGTGCCCCACTTTAGATGGTCAAGGACGAAAATCTACAATGACACTCTAATGAAGACAAAACTGATACTTGGATGAGCATTGCTCTACGAAGGACAAATACGTAGCCAAATGTCAACAGTGCAATACTTGTTGAGGATATCCTAGATGTCTCATATGTTCATTTATTAATATCATATATGCACTAATGTATAAGATATTTCAACATGTTTTGGTGCCACCTTGAGTTAAAAATCTCTTCTACTTTAAGTTCTTGATTATTATTTATTTCTATAGAGAGAGGTAACATCTATCTTCTTCTCAACATATCCACTATCTTGTATGATTTAAGAAGAGACATACAGAGACAAATTTTACCATTGACAAAAAAATTATCCATTCATCTTGATAGTAGTTGATGACACATCTTAAATATTGTTCTAATATTTGATTTATCTATTTTATTTGTCCATCATTTTAACAATGCAAGACCAAAAATTATTTGATGTCCACTTTTAATACCTTAAAAAGAATTCTCCAAAACCTTAGTACAAATTGTATCATTTTGTCTAATATAATATTCCTTAGCAATCCATAATAGTAATAAATATTATTAAGAAAAAATATAGTTGTTTCTTAACTTGTGATAGTTTTTATATATATGGTATAAAATGTGCCATTTTAGTAAAATAATCTATTATCACAAATATGAAATCATAATAATTTAAGATTAAAAGATTTGTAATAAAATTTGTAGAAGTTAGTAACTACGATTATTTTAATATAAGTAGTAGTTAGAGAAGTCTGTAAGGTTAATGATAAGGATGTTTTATTTTTAAACAAATATTATATGATTATATAAAGTCTTTAATAACCTTCTACATTTGAGGCCAAAAAAAATCTTTTAAATTTAAATTTAAGATCTAGTTGTATTAAGATTATAGTTGTTTTGGTATAAGTAGTGATTGTAGAAGTCTATAAATATTTGAACTAGAAGAAGATGCATAAACTTTAAAAATTTGTGTTAAAAGAAAACTGATAAAATAACAATAAAGTAGTATATATATTAAAAAAAAACTAGAATGGCTATTGCCAAAAGATAAAGAAAGTAGAGACTCTTGAATCTAGACTAGAACCAAAAAAGGAGTTGACAAGAGTGAAGAAGGCTTCACTCTTGCCTCTATATATACTATCTAATTAGGAGCTACTTGGTGATGTTCTATAAATTTTTTAATATGTGTTGACTTTGCATGACACATACCTTAACTTACAAGGTGAGTTTTCTATATGTAGGCCACATAATTGGCTTGTTCTTCAAGCTATCAATATGTGTGACTCATGGCCAACTTTTTGACCACGTTTTTAATCTAAAAAATCAATTGTAGATACCTATAAAGTCAAAGTAGCATCTATGAAGCTTCTATGAAGCTACTATGGAAGATATTATGGAATTAACCTACTTTTACCTACTTTCATCTAAATCATATAGGTAATTATTGGTTTACATGTATATATCCATAACATTATATTATCTTTTAGGAATGAGTTCTATGAGGAGCGGTCTTTAAATATTGAAGAAATCCAAGATGCAGCAAATTAAATTTGCTACATACTTCGATCTTTGTTATGTTTGAAGATAGTTGATACACCCTCTTAGCCATTGATAGTGTTCCATACCACGGCGAAAAGACCACCCTACTATTTAGATATTGTTGAGGCCTTCATAACTTCTTTCAAATAAAACATTTGAAATATAATCAGGACTTGTTCCTATCTCTAATAAAATCACCAAACATCAAGAATCTCTTCCAAAGTCATGATATCAAACAAATTGTATCTTGCCATCTATTCGAAGAAGGATATGTCATTCTTAAAGATCTTCATCTCAATTTTGTCATCTTGTAGGTTGTGACAATCGCAATGTTTTGTTTGATAAGTCTATAAATGAAAGCTCTTGAGTTCAATGTGCTAGTTGTTGGTTCTCCATCTCCTTAGCATCATAAATATTCAAAAGCTACAAAGAAAGATAAAAAGTAGAATGTAATTTTCTTTGGACCTTGTTTCTTTTATAGCAAAGACTTATTATTCTTCATCTTGATTTGGATAGATGTTGACAATGAAAAGCATCTACCACCATTATTGCATTTGTATGATTCTTTATTCGCTCCCATGTACATTCACTAATATCATATCTATGCCAATAGATAAGATATTCTAATTTATTTTAGTGCTGCCTTGAGTCTAGAACTTCTTCTATTTTCAATTCTTGATTATTATCTACTTCTATAGAAAGAAGTAGAACTTGTCTTCTTCTTAATATATTCATAGTCTTGTATGGTTGAAGAAGAGATATGTAGAAGACAAGATGGATCTTCATTGCCTTTGGTAGATATAATCAATAAGCAACTAGATTGAATTATCTAAAAATAGAAAAAATTCTAATCTTACGATAGTCTAACTTATCACAAGGACAAGTAGTCTTGATATTACAATGAAGCAATCATACCTTGTCATCTACATTCGATTGTGGTTGTTCTTTTTGATAGGCATCTACGTTGATCTTTTGTCATTCTTAAGCTTTTTTTAATTGTACCTTCATTGTTGCATGTAGCTCTAACAAACAATTTGCAAAACCTTCTGCTATAAGATTATCAACTTTTAAAAAGTCAAAAATATCAAGTCATAGATGATAACTATAATTGGCAAAAAAAGGTGTTTATTACATAGAAGAATGTATTATACCATTATAAGCAAGGATTATCCAATCATCTTATTGATAATTGATGGTACATCTTAAATATTACTACAAAACTTGGTTTATGCACTCTATCTATCCATCAGTTTGATGATGAAAGGTCGAAGAAAGTTTTATGTCCACCTTTAAAATCTTAAAAAGGTTTATCTAAAATCTTGATATAAATTGAGTCCTCCTATCTGATATAATATCTTTTGGCAATCCATGATATGGATAGATATTATCAAAGAAAAGTTTGGTAGTTTCTTCACGTGTAATAGATTTTGTGCATGGTATAAAATGTGCCATTTTGGTAAAACAATCTACTATCACAAATATAGAATCTCATGATCATGAGATTGGAAGACCTATCATAAAATCCATAGAAATAGAAGACCATGGTTGTTTTGGAATATGTAATAGTTGAAGAAGTCCATAAGGTTATCAAGGATATGAACTCCAAAGAAAGATAATCTCAATACACTCTTATGTCACTTGAAAATACTTAGAAATCACTCAAAGGTGATAATATATTGAACTAGAATGGTTATTACCAAAGACTAGAAAACATTACGACTCTTGAAACTAGACTAAAAATAAGAAAGGAGTTGACAAGAGTGAAGAAGGCTTCACTCTTGTCTCTATATATACTATCTAACTAGGGGCTACATAGCAACGTTCTATAAGACCTCCAATATGTGTTGACTTTGTAGGACACTTGCCTTGATTTACAAGGCAAGTTTTTCTACGTGTGGGCCACATAATTAGCTTGGTCTTCAAGCTAACAACATGTGTGGCACATGGCCAACTTGTTGACTACGTTTCTAATCCAAAAAGTCAATTAAAGATACCTATGAAGTCAAAGCAGCATCTATGAAGCTTCTAAGAAGCTTTTTTATGAAATACTATAGAATTAACTTAGTTTTATCTACTTTTATTTACTTCTACTTATCTATATATGTAATTACTAGCTTACATGAGTATGTCCGTGATATTATCCCCCCTTTTAGGGACGAGTTCCACAAGGAGCGGTCATCATATGTTAAAAAAATCTATGATGGGATGAATTGTATTTGCCACATACTCTAATCTTTGTTCTCTTTGAAGATGATTGATAGGGCCTCTCAACCATCGGTAGTGTCCCATACCAGGGCAGAAAGACCACTTAGTTATTTGGTCATTGTTGAGGCCTTCATAACTTCCTTCGAATAAAATATTT